GCTGCTGTTACAGGGAAACGTCAACCAGAACATGGCGTGTCGACTTTTCTGGGAAAGTTTCGAGCCAAAGCGAATAACAGTGTCTGAAATGGGAGCGCGCTCACTTGCATGCACAAATTGGGACTCAGTTGGTTATTTACTCATTAGTGCCGTGATCTGAGTTGTTCTGCAGACGTCAATTTGTGTCGTTTCCATTTTGCCAATCGGCCAGATGGACGGCTCCGTCGCTTCTTCTGATAACGGCGGTTAATGGCGTTCCCCATTAGGAGGATTGATGTTATGTTCTCCATCAGACAGTAAAACTATTTGTCCTGGACATAATAACTCAGTCAACCCCCCTTACCCCACCCCCCCCACCACCTTATAATCATATTAGTAAGAAAAAAAACTTTCCATCTGTCTGCTCAAGGCTTTAATCAAGCCTCCAAGTGTGCCGGCTCCAAACCCATGATTGACTCGCCTCCTTCTCTCTATAACTGACTCACGGACACTTCCAATTAGCGTCTGCTCTGCGGTGCGCTAGTCACGGTCCCCGGGCCTATCACGCTGCACACAAGCCGTTTGATTGGATATCTCAGGCTGCCGGTTCATCATGAGCACACTGTCTAGGTGGTGGGGGGAAAGGCTTTAACGCATTTTGATTTTTTTCTCCCTGCTTCTGGCTTCTCTCGCAATGTGCCAAAGTCCTTCAACGAGGTTAACTCTTCCCCACCTTTGAATGGAATTTAAGAAAATATATATGTATACATGCATGTTAGCATTAAAACAAGGAGAAAGGGAAATGTTATTTGGGAGGTGTGCACTTTCGTCCGTGGTTCGGAAAAAACAAAAAATTCCCTCTTTTTAATTCAATTCAATTCAATTTTATTCATATAGCGCCACATCACAACAACAGTTGTCTCACAGCGCTTTCCAAACAGGGCAGGTCAGACCCTACTCTGAAGTTAATTACAGAAACCCAACAATTCCCACCATGAGCAAGCACTAGGCGACCCAGGCAAGGAAAAACTTCCTTTTAACAGGCAGAAACCTCGAGCAGAACCATGGCTCAGGGTGGGCGGCCATCTATTATTGACTTTTTATTCAGATTGGGTATTCAGGCGGCACGCCTCGTGTCCTTTAACTGGGCTGATAAGGACCCGCTCAGCATCCGCCAGCGTGCTCTTTCCCCCGGCGCCCCTGATTGACTCGGTGGCATTTTTTATTTTCTTTCTAAAACTGTTTTCCCTCTCCCTCTGCGCGTAAAACACAGCAGTCAGGTGTTTTTGAAGGAAGTCGTCCACGGAGACGCGCGCCGTCTTGTGTGTGTGTGTGTGTGTGTGTGTGTGTGTGTGTCGCTTTCATCGCCGTCGTGACATTCTCCTCTTTGACTCTGAGGAAGAAAGTCAAGTGTGGCTGTTTTTTTTATTGTTTTTTTTTACCCCTCATTCCCCAAGACCATAACGCAAAGCAAAGTGTAAGTTCTAAAAAGTCAAAGGCATCATTTGATCCACCTTCTGTGTCCCCAACCCTTCTGCCTATCTCAGGTGGGGCTGGTGCTGCACTACTCGTCCTTGTCCACCATGCTGTGGCTGGGGGTGACCGCCCGGAACATTTACAAGCAGGTGACCAAGAGGCCTCCGCAGAGCCGAGACGGTGACCCGCCCCCACCCCCGAAGCAGACCCTGTTGAGGTAAGCGGAAAAAGACAAACTCACCGGCCCGTTGTGGGCCCGTTGTGGGCCCGTCTCTCGTTTTTGTCAGCACCGGCTCGGCTGAGACTTGGGAGATGTGCGTTTAAATCCAAAGGCTATTTCTGTCATAGCTTTCTCTTTTCTTTTTTTTTCTCACTATAAGCAGCTATGGATGAGCCTTTAAAGATAAGCCAGAATGCCAACACAACAATGCGAACTGTGCTAAAGGTCCTCTGGTCACTGAGTCACATCATCATAAAACATTCATAGTAAAATGCTGGATTTTTTTTCCCCGGTGCATTTTATCACTAATATCTTGTCTTTTATGCCTTTTCTCAAATGATGGGGGTAAAAAAACAGTCACTTTTCATACTTTATCCAAATGATAGCTTTTCAAAAGATTAAAGAGCTGTGGAGAATTGATCAGAGACACATAATAAGCAGTCTTTCTACAGAGAACGTAGTGGCACAGCGAGTACAATAATGCATCTGACATGTATAGTATTGGCCATTTAATTTGCTATAAGTGGTCGGTAAGGGGAAAAACAGCACTTCGCTACGGTCCTT